CGAAATTTTCCAGTGAAAACTGGGGCAGAAAATTTCGTACGTTTGTTGTTTGGTATCCTAAGCAGGTCAACTCAAGGCACAGGGGTGCGAGATGACATACGGAATGAGTCTTAATCCAGAATAAAGAAAAGAAGAAAAGAACAAAAAGAAGTGAACTCAAAGTGCTGAAGTGGAGAATGACGCGGACTGCTCAAGATATGATTAAAATCACAAGCTTCGCATGCCCAGCCTTGATCCAGAGCTGAAGAAAGAACCAACACCTACAGCTAACGAGCATCAAGATTCAGATCGGAGTCTGCAGCAAGACCTAGCCAAGACTCAAGATCAAACTTCATGAGATTTATAGATAGGAATCTTGTAACTCGTAGCTGATAGGCTTAGTTAGTCTTTTTAATTTTGATTTTGATGTAATAAACGGGACCGCGGATCGGAACCTCGACGGCACCTCGCTCGTCTCTCAACCTCGGTACCCCATCACTTCATTCACTTCTGAACTACACGTGGCCTGATTCCTTTATAGCCAAGGATATGTAGGCAGCTCAGATACCAGGGCTCGGTCACATTCTCCTTCCTCTATTGGTCTCCTTAAATAAGGGTCGGGTCAAAAACCTGTCTAGTCATTCTTTGTCTGAAAACTCTTCGAGTTTCCAGTCAAAGAGGGGCATTCCCTTTAATAGAAACGGATTCCGTCAGAAAACCTAAGTTGCTGCCGTGTTGCGTCAATTTCCAGTAGTCGTCGACTATTTTCCAGGTTTGTTCTCTAGTTCCTATGGCCTTCTCTTCTTCCCCTGCTAATTTCTCTTCTTCCCCTGTTAAATTGGTTGCTTGCAATCGTTTTGCAATACGTTATTGATTGAGGCTGCTCGATTTTTATATGGATTGAATTATAGGAAAACCTAGATTGCTGCAACGATTTTCAGTACCTCGTCGTCGATTCTTTTTCCAGGTAAGTTCTCTCATTCCTGTGACCTTCTCTTCTTCCCCAGTTATTTTCTCTTCTTCCCTTGTTAAATTGGTTGCTTGCAATCATTTTGCAATGCATTGTTGATTGATACTGCTCGATTTTTATATGGATGGAGCGATTTACAGTGGATTGATGCTGCTCGATTGTTTATTTGGATTGATTTACAATGGATTGATGGTTGATGCTGCTCGATTGATTATATGGATTATTTTACAGTGGATCCTTTTGCTCGATTGTTTATATAGATTTATTTATAATTGAGATATATTTGTTGAATTCAGCTTCTGCTCATGAAAAATGGCACTAAGAATTTTCGACGGGTGCAAATTTAGCACCACTGATGAAAATACAGAGTATATGAAAGCCAATATAGTACAAATTTACACTCAACCCCAAAAGAATTAGAAGGGGTTCCTTTATAGTCACAGTTAATTCTAGCTATTCATTTGATTGCTAGATCCGCCCGGAACTTCGTATGTAGCAAGAGCCTAGTGCACCGTATATATTATAAATTGATCATTAACTCCTTTGAGTTTCTCTATCTGAACATGGAAATTAGAGAGTAGAAATCATCTTCATCACAAGGAATAGTAATTCTCGAATCATGGCTAAATCCAAACTCCTCTTCTGCTCTTTGAAGCAAGCTCTGAAATCTTGGATGTGTCAACCAAGAAATTGAAATTATGTACCTGCTCCTATTTTCTCCCATATATACTACAAAATGGCCTTTTGGGACATCATGGGGCAAGCCATTCTCAATATTTTTTCCAAAGCTATAACACTTTCTGTGCACCATTCTTCACACGATTGTCCCGTACCTTTTTCCATTATTCTCCAACATTGCCAAATTTAATGGCGCATTATTTTTTATCGTTCTTTTAGTCTCAGCTGAAAGTTCCAAGTTTTATGTGCCACGTTTTGGTTCAAAGTCTCATTCTGTTTGACTATTACAAGGTAAAAATATGCATTTTGTTAGCTCAGAGCTCGATGTGCGAGTGGATCCATTAGTAATAATATGACCTTAAATACTATGAATGAACTACAACAATTAGGATACTTATCTATGACCGCATGTTCATTCCATTGGCATCTAAAATAAAAGGAAGACAAGTAAGGCTTAGACCTATAGAAAGAATAGGAATTGGCATATTCATCTCTTGCATATCCATGTTAGTCTCTGGTATCGTGGAACATGTTCCACGAAGAAGAGCGATAAGCCAAGGGCTGTTGAACAACAACTTAGTAATAATTTGTGAAAGAATAGCTTTTTATGTTTTTGCTAAGTCGTTTGTGATATCTCTGTTAGATTGATAGTCGATTGATTGAATTGCTTCCTCCTCTGTTCTGGTATTATTTTGTGAATTGGTTCCTATGTATAGAATCCTTCGACAGTCAGTACCCTTTAGTTTCTTGTTAGTTATAGTCAGAATGTCCAGCCTTAAAATTTTGTATAATTTTTAAGTTTAATAATTCCATTCTTAAAAGTTTTATGAATCAATATAGTAAAAATTGGCAAGTTGTCTTTGGCTATATTTATTTCTCATTTACATGTTTATTCTATGATGACTATGATCTGTTTATAAATAGCAAAATATTCCATATCAATTGAGCCCCATATGTAGTAGCCCCATATCACTGCAATCATCGTCTTATTGTTAAAAAAGTTCACACCTTTTTAGGCTTTGCATAATCTGTTGAATTTTTCAAGTTTATTTACTCTGTCTCTTTCTTGTCATGTTTAGTTTAAGTAGTCTTTAACTTAAACTTTAGATGGATGATTTCATCACAATTATATTAGGCTTTGTATACTTTTAATATATAAACTAACTTATATTCCATTTAGCTTTAGAACTAGTTAAATTGGCGCTCAATAAAGAAAAGAGCTATAAACAAATTGGTAAAATTGGAGTATATATCTGGATATTCAACAAATATGAGTAGTAAGTTTTGAAAATTTTAAAATATATGATATATGGTTCTTCTATAAAATATAACTTTAATAATTCTATTCTTAAAAGATTTATGAATCAATTGTTAAAATAGTTTAACTGTTTAATAGTTTAACTGTTAAAATGATAGTTTTAATAGATTTATGTTTTATAGTTTCAATTGTTAAAATGATATCTTTGAACTATGGAATTGCCTACTAATAGGATTGGTTTTTTTATTTTGAACTACCTTTTTTATCAATTTCTCCTTTTTACTAATAAAAATTTGTAGCTCTTGCAGTAATTACAGAAAAAAAAAGGAATATCTTGAGCGTCATGGACAATCCTAGAAATAAAAGATGGATGTATTGTGATAGAGTTAGTAAAGAATATTTGGAGGGAGTAGATGATTTTTTAAATCATGCACTTTCTGAAAAACGTGGAGAAAAAATTGCATGTCCTTGTACGGAGTGTGTGCTTATCCATCAAGTAAATCGGGCTACAGCATATAATCATCTTGTGGTTAATGGTATTATACTGTCATATGATACTTGGTTTTGTCATGGGGAGTCTCTAAAGGGATCAAACAATGCTGGAGAAAATAACCGAAGCCATTCAACTCTAAGGGGCGATAATATGCGAGGAATGATACATGATGCATTTATAGATGTTACACAGTTCATGGATACTGACATTAGTGAAAGTGGTGGCATGGATCAAAACGTACAAGAGAATACTGCTCCTCCATCTAGAAATCAACCTCATCCAGAGGTGGATAAGTTTGAACGTCTCATGAAGGAGGCAAATGAAGAACTGTATCCTGGATGTAAGAAGTTTAGCAAATTGTCTTTTTTGCTGCATATGTATCGCTTAAAATGCACGTTCAAATGGTCAAATGAATCTTTTAATTCTTTGCTTGGACTATTGAAAGATGCGCTTCCTGAAGGAGAAACATTGCCTCCTTCTTTCTATGAGACCAAAAAGATAGTTGAAGGCTTGGGCTTAAAGTAAGAAAAAATTCATGCTTGTCCCAACGATTGCATGCTTTTTAGGAAAGAGTTTGCTAATAAGAATGTTAATGAATGCAAAGTTTGTGGGGCTTCTAGATGGAAAAATGATGCTAGAAAAATTTCAGCCAAGGTCCTAAGGTATTTTCCTTTAAAACCAAGGCTACAGAGATTGTTTATGTCTTCAGAAACTTCTAATGCAATGCGATGGCATCATGAAGAGCGCAACAAAGATGGAGTTCTACGGCATCCTGCATATTCTGAAGCTTGGAAAAATTTTGATAGTAAATATCCCGAATTTGCTGGAGATCCTCGCAATGTGCACCTGGGATTAGCTTCTGATGGGTTTAATCCATTTGGCACAATGCGAACTGTACACAGTACATGGCCAGTGATTTTAATGCCATATAATCTTCCACCATGGATGTGCATGAAACAAGAGTTCTTCATTTTGTCCTTACTTATTCCTGGACCAAAAGCTCCTGGCAATAATATTGATGTCTATTTGCAACCTTTAATAGAAGAGTTAAATGAATTATGGGATGTTGGGATAGAAACATATGATGCCTCTGCTAAGGAGATATTTCAAATGCGAGCAGCTCTCATGTGGACTATAAATGATTTTCCAGCATATGATACTCTCTCTGGATGGTGCACTTATGGTCGGTTTGCATGCCCTTCTTGTAACATAAACACTCAATCTAGAAGGCTCAAACATGGCAGGAAGTTTTGTTACAT